AAAAGATTCTAATTTCGGATTTTCTTATGAAGATATTTCAAAATAAAGGTTCAGCCTTTTTCAATAACTAACTCTCCTTATTCAATAGAATCATAGCTATAAAAAAAAACATTACGAATCTATCACTAATTCTTTCTTAAATCTAATAAGTTTATAATTAAATGTTTTTATCTCATGAAGGACCAAAATTTCACTCTCATAGGTATCGTACGAATAATTCTTGTGTAAAAATATCCATGGTTTTCAAAGATTGACCTATAATTTTGCATAGATTCAGTGAATAATCTTGATTTCTATAGTGTAAATACTAGAAGACATGAAGATTCTTTTGATATCCATCAAATCTGGAAAAGCTCTTATTTTGATTATTTTTCATCGAAAAAAAAATCGTACTAATAATTTTTGTCAATTAAATCTTTTTTCTGAAAGCCAGAAAAACCTAGCTTTTTTTTTGAAACCCACTGTGAAGACCAGAAATATTTGCGCTAAGAACAATTAGAAACAGTTGATAGGAGAACATTCTAGCAAAATTGAGAAAAGTTTGGAGGTTAAATGTGGATGGATTGCTCATTTTATGGGACTAGCTGTTCGAACGATACTGTAGAAAACATTTTTTGTTATCAAAAGTTAAACGTGCAAATTAAAACATATTTTTTACCATTGTATAGAGCTCAGATTGCAGGTTCAGAAAATGTACTTGATTTGTCTATTGAACAGTTTAATTTTGTCAGATATCAATTTTCCCCTGTGACGTCACGATTTCCAGCCTCATTTTTGGGTAGTTGCTTTATCAGTTTCTTTGAGATTTGGAACAAAATTATTTATACCATAAGATAGACTATATTTCGAAGTGTATTTCCCTATATTTAAGCGCTGAAAAAGCTCGACTTTCATTTCTAACCAAATGTTCGCTGAGATGCACAATACGGGAGGAGAGGGAGAGGATCATTCATCCTTATCAAAGCGCGCGTATTTAAGGACTTTTTAAGGCTTAATGCGAATAAACTATTCACTATTCAATAGTTTTCTCTAAGTGGGGACGAAGAGCGGGACGGACCAAGACCAGAGTTGACACGATAATGATCGGAACCAGACCAGTACCAAAACTAAAAAGAGCTTGGTCTTGCACATCTCTGACGAGTGACTCAATTTAGAATTTAAAGAAATAGAATAAATTTAATTCATTTACTTTTATATGAGAACTTACCGGTGAAATCTGATGGGGTCTCTGTCGAAGATGGTGTCGCAATAGTTTCAGGTTCAATTGAAGGACGAATAGTCGACAATAGTTGTTGAGTTTTTTTGTCTAAATATTTCACAAAACATTTTCTTTCTCCATAATATCAATTCCAACAAATATGGTCAGTAACGAACCTGAACATTCTGATAGTTTAACACAATCACCGTTGTCGTTGAGTACATAATCTTCTTTGCAATAGCATCCTTCATTATATGTATCATTGTAACATTTTATCGTGGATGTAGTGTCTAGATCATTACACGTTTTTTGACATAATGTTCCACATGATTTGTATTCTTCATTTTCTCCGCATGTCAAAGCTTAAATGAAGAAAAAGTGAAAAATTGACTTCTTCAACAAGTTATTAACATACGACAAAATTCATCATTTCGCCAATACTCAATTGGATGAGCTTCTTTACAACAGAGTTCTGACAAAGAAGCAAACCATGAGCAAAGGTTAGGGCAATCATAACTATCAATTACACAACTATAAAAAAAAACAAGTAATAATAGATAGTAATATCAATTAGTCACTTAACGAACCCGCATGTTTCTTCCATACATTGTTCATATAAAGTTTTTCGACGTTCTTGACTGAATTTATTCAAACAAGAAGAAAATGGATTTTTCGTTGATGAACTATCATTCCAAATATTAGCGCATATATTATGAGCCCATCTCCATTTTTCGTCATCGTCATTTGGTTTACTTATCTCAACTTTACATTTATCATTGACTTTCCATGTATTTATATATTTCTCCTTTTTTCTAATTATGCCTTTGCTAAATTAAAAACAAATAGTTTCAGATATCATTACAACATTATATGAAATAAAATTCATATGTTATTACTTAGGACGGCCATGTTCACTACAGACACCATCTAATTTTCTTTTCCATTTATTACCAATGGTTAAATAAATTCGATTACCTAAAAAGATTAGAATGATTATTAATAGCTATTTCTTAATTGTTTAATTTCATACCAAAATCCCATCTAACGATAAAATGATTTCCCTTAATGATGGCAAATGATCCAGCTTTATAAATTGCAAATGATGAATAACGTATGGGTGTTGCTGTTAATATTGTAAGAGTTGTATCATTTACACGAATGGATTTATTCGATGCCAATGAAATGTGTGTTCCTATACGAAAAAAAATGTTGTAATTCAAGTTTAAAAAATATTCTGGGTAATGTACCATTGATAATCAAACGGCTTTGTAATGAATGAGCATGTTTAGTGGATGCATTATTACTCAATATGAGAGTAAATTTTTTTGCATCATGTTTAAATCGAGCTGCAGTATATTCGCATGAACCACTATTAATTCTTAAATATTGTCCACTAAATGTTGTATAATGTGTATTTCGTAAAATACTACACGTATGTGAACAATCTACTTCAGTACATGACCATTGTCCTGATACACATGTACTAAAAAATTAATTAAAACAATTAAAAAAAAATTGTTTTTGATAAAATTACGAACCATTCGTTACAATCTTGCGTAATCTTCGAACCATATGAAAATATTTTATCCCTTAATTTACATGAACAATGTTTAGGAAATACACATCTATTTGTCTACAAATAAACGTAAAGTTAACATTTATATTATTTTAATAAATAAACGTACATTTTCATCGCGAATCATATTTTCTGGACAATCACATCCTGATTGATATTTATGACAATTTTTCCATATTAAATGATTCGAACATGTTTTTGGACATGAAGCCAAACTTGTTTCCGTGAATATCAAATTATTAGGACAAATAATTTTCGATTTATTACATTTATCGCTATTACAATGAAATTGACCACGTAGGCAAATACTAAAAAGAAGAAAAAAGATGAATCGATAAATAGAAATAAGTCTTATCTACCAAGTTGAACATTGACCATGTTTAATAATTGAACCAGGTTTATGATATGATTTTGTTCGTTCGTCAAAACATGAACATTCTGATTCCTTGTTACATTTTAATGGATCACGTCTACTTTGATTTGTATCATAATAATTATTTTTAGCACAAACACAACCTGAGAAAAAAAAAAAAAATTTTAGAAATCAATTCAATGAATTATTTGAGCTAAATCTTACCGCCAAGACATTGTTGTCTACAAACAGAATTTAATTCATGTTCATCATCTCTGTCTGAACAAGTATTTAAACATGAATGAGGACATTCTTCATATATAGTTCCAGCACCACATTTACTGAAAATTAATTGACATTCATCTCGCCACTTTATATATTTTTGTGGTATATCATAACCAATCAAAGCACATGCATGAGCAAATATTGAATGCCAATAACAAGAAGCCCGGCTATTCATAGTAATTTGTATAAAACGTTGATCTTCGATACAAGATGAAAGAAGTCCATGAACATATGCACCAGATTTACAAACATTATCTCTTATTTGATGACAAAGTTTTTCCTAAATAATTTATAAAGTAAATTTTTAAAATCCTAATCAAAATACATACAGCTTCCTCTCGATCGAATTTTTCTGGTACAGCTACTTCTGAACTATTGCTGGACTCTGCTGTATCATTAATTAAATAAGCTTGACTAAAAATATGCGTATCACATGTTAATTCGCCATTTGGTAAACGTAAATCATTATCTTGATTGTAATCAAACGATCCACAAAGACCACGGATACGTTCTCGATAGAATGATTCTAATGTAATATAAACAGCATTTCCATCATAAGCAATATGCATATCTTTTGATTCGATTAAAATGAACTGAGATGTTGCTTGACGAATAGTTAAATCAGTAGTTTGAAATGGAAGTTGTTCAAGTTCATTATTATTTAACTTGATAGAATGTATATCGGATAGAGTTACCGTATTATTATCAAGAGTAAACTTCAATTGCCGTTTAAAATGTTTTCCTACGGATGCTTCAATGCGCATTTGTTTTATTGTATTATCAATATTCTAAATATTAAACAATATAATTACTTAACATAAAACTATATGATAAAGTAAGAACTAAAAGTTTAAGGTACGGTTTTTTTTCAATATTTCTCTGTGAAATATCACTTAATAATGACATCTAAATAATGAACTCGATAGCTCTCAGAATGGACTAAAAGATTGATATATTGGAATTTCTGAAGGATAGCTTCTTCATTTTTTTTTATGCAAGAAATCTTTTTTCTTCAATAATTAAAAGTTTAAGGTACGTTTAGTGTTCATTAGTTTTTCGCTGATAAATAATTATTTAAAATTCTTCTATATACTATTCAATGCAGAATGTAATGGGCTACATTTTGGTAAAATTATTTTTTGAAAATCACTAGTTTTAATAATTAATTTTTAACTACACTTAGTTAAGGTTTATTATCAAAAAAAAAAGAAAAATGTTGTTTTCATTTTCAGTTTATAACTACATCGTTGGAAAGAGCATAAAGAGAGGATTCGTCAAATCATCAACCAAGCTGACTACTGAAGAAATTTTTCTTTTCAATTTTATTATCTCAAACGATAGACCATCACTTGAAACCTCTGAATCCAAAATATCAACTCTTTCTTACTTGTCTGTGAAAAATACCGCAGTATACAAGTACGACTACTCTTGATCCTTGATCAAAAAATCGTTTTCTTAAAGATATTATTAGTGTTTTGCACTCTTTTCTGCACTCGCTCATCGCTTCGAGTTTGGAGACGACTCAAAAGATGCAAAAATGTTTTCTCTACAAGATTGGATAACTCGTTAACTTCTATAATACCATTTACCACCTGATAATATCAATGTACGGAGAAAAATAACGATTGATTAAAACGAAAGTTATCTAGTATTCTGAGTTTAGTGATGCTGGATCATGCTATTCCAAAGTAATTTTTATACTTTCTGAAAGTTCTTTAAATTCTACATTGTTTAAGGCATTACTTCAATACTCTAAAATTCTGTTAGCGAAAGCTAGTTTATATCACAAATATTGATGAGTAATATCCATCTCTATCGATTCTAATTCAAAATCATGATACTACATATTTTATATTCATCTTAATCAAAAATATGACTTCAGATTCATAATCAGCATGGAAAGTTGAGTATAGAAAAGTCATTTGATTGAATCTAAATTTAATCAAGTTAAAAATAACATGTCGAATACAGATATCTTGAGCATACCGCAAAGTATATATGTATATATTTTAGAGGTGTCAATTTATATTTACTTTCAATTTAGTTTGTGACACAAATTTAGTTTTAAAAAAAATTTAAGTTATTTTTCTTTCTTAATTGAATTTGTTTTAAATTCAAATTATTTGAACTTTATTATTTATTAATTTAGAAATTAAATTAAATTATTCTTTTTCTTAGTGACACTTCATGTAAGAAATCTATGCTATTTTAATATTCTATTTATGTACAAATTATGTTCTATACAATATTTTCGTTCAATCGATAGTAGGGAATATAGGTTATCGTTACGCTAACAAGTATCAGTTAACGAAAAATGTGTGACTTTGATTGTGTTGTCAAGGAAGGCCTATTTTTCGAAAATTGCGCTTGTATTTAAAGTTTGATCAAAGGTCTTTGAGATCAAGGAATCCGAATCTACAATTGGTTTCTTGGCATTCGTGAGTTTGATATTTTTGTTAGCGAAAGTTTATTTTTCGGAAATATGGTTTTTTTGTGTAAAGTTTGTTGAAAAGTTTTCTGGATCGAGGAATCTGACTCTATATGTTCTTTCTGAAAATTGTTGAGTTTGATTTTTTTTTCGAAAACTTTACATAGAGTCGGATTTTTCTACGACGAAAACCTTTAATCGAATTTTAAAAAGGACCATTATTTTCGAAAAAAGCTCTCCTTGACGATAAAATCAAAGTCACACATTTTTCGTTAACTGATACTTGGTAAAGTAACGGTAACTGATATTTCCTACTATTGATTAAATGAAAATATTGTATAGAACATAACTTGTACATAAATAGAATATTAAAATAGTATAGATTTCTTACATAAAGTATCACTAAGAAAAAGATTAACTTGATTTAATTTCTTAATTAATAAATTATAAAGTGCAAATAATTTAAAATTAAGATAAACTAAATTTGCTATAATTTAAATATAAATTAAATTTAACGTATGGTAATTTAAATTTCTTTTTAAATTTAAATGATGAAGAAAAATTATTTTAAATTGTTCTAAATTAACAGGAATACGACACCACTAATATTTATAGACATCTTTGTAAACCTCTGTAGTTTCTCATGAGAAGACATGAAACCAAATCTTTTATCTCATTTAGAATCACTGTATTCTTAGTTTCAAAAGCATATATTTAGGTTGTTTATGTTTTGTTTTTGAGAAAAATTTGATTTTCTTCGAGGTTGGTAACAAATGCATACAAGATTGTAAGAATTGTGTCCATATTTGGCAGTTTTTCTCATCGTAGCCTATTTTGATATTAAAATGAATAGCATATTCGGAATTAGCGGAGAAAACCAAGTTGAATCACACGTATTTTGGCAAGTTTTTTTTAATGGAAAAACTCCTTCCTGCTTCTCTTTATCATTTTTCTCTACTTTTTGCCAAACATGTATAATACGACGTAGTTTTTTTTGTTCTGATTCGAAATAGACTATGATGAAAAAAAACTGTCAAATATAGACACTATTCTTACAATTGTGTATGCATTTGTCACTGACTTCGAAGAAAATCAAATTTTGCTCAAAAACAAAACATAAACAATCTAAATATATACTTTTGAAACTAAGAATACAGTGATTCTAAATGAGTTAAAAGATTTGGTTTCATGTCTTCTCATGAGAAACTACAGAGGTTTACAAAGATATCTATAAATATATGCTTTGAGGCATACTCAAACTATCTGTATTCGACATGTTATTTTTAACTTAATTAATTTTATATTCAATCAAATGACTTTTCTATACTCAACTTTCCATGCTGATTATGAATCTGAAGTCATATTTTTTATTAAGATGAATATAAAATATGTAGTATCGTGATTTTGAATTAGAATCGATAGAGATGGATATCACTCATCAATATTTGTGGTATAAACAAGCTTTCGCTAACAGAATTTTAGTCTATTGAAGTAATGCCTTAAACAATGTAGAATTTAAAGAACTTTCAGAAAGTATAAAAATTACTTTGGGATAGTAAGATCTAGCGTAGTTAGAGTCGAAATACTATTCTTGGCGGCGAAATATGATGCATCTCAATATTTTTTGAGTCTCTCGAGAATGAAAATAAGTAGATACATGCATTTTTCACCATTCGAAATAGAAATGTAAAAGAAGTGAAACTTTGCTGAACTATCTGGACTACGTATGGATCTAGCAGGGGGGAGGGGTTGCTGTAGACTTTGACTATAGAAGTTTTTCAAAAACTTTTTCGGACTAAGATTGAGTTTCAATTTAGGAAATCGATAACAAAGACGTTTTTTCTATCGATCTACGCATGACCGACCCTTGTAGTTTATTTTACTTCGGAGTTATAAGTGTTTTACTGGAAGCCTTGAAATCGACCAACTGGCCACTGGTCACTCTAAACTATATCCAGTTTGGTGTATTAGCCTACGCTGAGTTCAATAGTGATATTTACTTTTAGTTTCGATACGATCATAAGTTGCTAGATCATGATTTTGTAATTTAGTCTATACAAAGCTTTTAACGTTACATGGGATATTTTCAAGATCTCTTCTTTTCAACGTCAGGTCATTTCAAAACTAAAAACAAATACTACTATAGGATTCAGTATAGACGAATACACCAAACTCAATATAGTTTAGAGAGACTTGTGATCAGTTGATCGATTTCAAGGCTTTCAGTAAAACGCTTACAACTTCTGAGTGGAATAAACGAGAAGGGTCAGTCACGCGTAGATTGACAGAAGGAATGTCTTTACTATCGATTCCCTAAATTGGAACTCAATTTTACTTCAGAAATTTTTTTTAGAAAACTTCTAGTTAAAGTCTACAGCAAAACCTCGCCTGTTTCCCCAATAGATAGTACAAATAATTCGACAAAGTTTCATTTTTCCTAAATTTCCTTTCGGATAGAGAAAATTGTAGGCATCTAGCTATTTTCGGTCGCGAGATATTGGAAAAATTTACAACTGTATTATAATTATTTTGACACCTATAATAAGTAACTTTCATTTTAGTCAGTTATCATTTTCGCCTGTATATTGGTATTATCAATTGGTGAATGGTATTGTAGTAGTGAATAAGCAACGGAATCTTCGAGAAAAAAAATATTTCTGCATCTTTTGGGACGTCTCCAAATTCAAAGCGATGAGCGAACACCGAGAAAAGTCAAATATACGAATAAAATCCTAAAAAACCGACTTCTCGATCAAAGATCAAGAGTAGTCACACTTGTATACTTGGACATTTTTCATAGACGCATCAAGAAGAGCTAATATCTTGGATTTAAGATATTCTAATGATGGCCTATGGATTCAGATATCAAAATGGGAAATCAAAATGTTAGCGACCGACATCTTTACAGAAAGCTGGTCGATGATTTGACAGATCTTTTCTTAGAAACTAAACAAAATGATATAGCACTTCCGTAAAGAGGATTCGTCTCATGAGGGAAGATATCAAACTGTTAATTGCCGATTGAAGTGATATTTTGTTCACTAGTAGGACACAGTGGGATTAGAAAAAGTCTGAAAGGACTTTTCCTGATAGATCAATCCACGAAGTTATAACCGTATTATCAGATTTTCGGCTTATGGTGAG